CATAGTGTGTGTGTGTGTGTTTGTGTGTTTCTGCATCATGCATGTATTATTTTATTAGGTTTACAACTACAAGGGGAGATAACTAGGGGTCAGCAAATAAGTCGAATTCACGAATTCGATTTGATTTGGTCCGATTTATACGGATCGGAACGAATTGCTATAGCCACGGATCGGCAGCAGATTCAAAAAAATTGAATCCGTAACTCACGAATTGAACTATTAAAAATTCGATCCAATCCACTAGTCATTTATATATATATTTAAAGAATAAATTAGTTAATTTAATTAGTTAATGATCATTTAATGAACTCTAATAATGTATTAATTAAAAATTATTTAAATATATGAATTAATGGTGATAAAATAAAATTTTATCTGTTGGGTTATGGTTAAAAAAATAAATAATATTGGACTATTTAGGAAAACTCCAATTCGTGGATCCAATTCGATCCGATCCATCATTCAACGGATCCAATCCGATCAGTGCGATAACAGATTAGTGACGGATTCAGATTTTTTCAATCCATTAGTATTGATGCCTAATAAGGAGAAACATTTATAACTTTGGTAACTTATATACAAGATGCTATATAGTAAATCCTTGATTTGTGCAATTACTTGCAACTCACATGTATCATTAATATTCATCTATGTTTTAGAGGTATTGTAATAATTGAATTCAGAATGTCCACTCGCTATAGAAAATATGTACTCATTTGTAAAGAAAATATATTTTTTGCTTTGTGATATGAATGTATTTTTCTTATTCCAAGTACCTTTATGAGTAAAAGAAGGGATTAAAAGTTTTTTTTTTTGTAAAAAAAATAGAATTACTCTAAATAAAAATATAGTTTAAATTTACTTGGCCACGGATAAATACATAATAACTCATTTGCTTCTCTTTCTTTTTTTTTTTTTTTTCAATCCCAAATTCAAATGTGGTGTGATTATTTTGCTTAGCAGATTATATTGGCAATTTGACACTGATAAAGTTTTAGACCTACGCTTTAGTGAGAAAAAGAAAGTGGAAGGAATAGGAAAACAAAAGGAATTAAAGAGAGCCTCTTTAGTGGCCCATTTTTATGGACCATCATCCATCATTAAAGTGGTTTGACAATTGAGTTTGGAAAATTTTGAATTTATTTTATTTAGTAAATTCGCAAACCACTAATATCTAAGGAATTTTTTTTTTTTTTTTTACAGGAAAAACTTCAAGATGGCAAAATTTTCTAATCTCCTTAGGAAAAATAAAAAATTGCCCCCCATAAAAAATTTATGAAGTCAACTCATGCACCCATACTATACCCAAATTTATCACCAACAGTTGGGACGAAGCCCAAGACACCTCAAGTTAATTAAAAATATATATACATTATTATTAGGGATTATTACATATAAATGAATTTAGTGGCCCATATTTACCCATACATTGAGTCAAAGTCAATAATTTCTCTAAAATGTGTTTGACCCAAAAGCTGAGGTGGTACATGAAAAAATACAGTTTCATATTTCTGTTGCCTAAAATACCCTTCTTCCTATTTTATGTGTTGCCTAAAATTCCCTTTTACGAAGGTACCACTTTTTTTTTCCAAAGGTACCACATTTTTAGACTGAAGGTACCACTTTTTGGCGTCCAGGTACCATATTTTCTAAACACTCGTTTAGCTAGATTGGAGAATATTTTGTGTTATTCATGGCGTTAATGGAGCTGTTTATGAATGTAATGTGCAACCTAATTAGCGGTTTGGGGTTTAATACCATTTTCAATTGCAAAAATAAGTCCCTTTTTTTGGTGTCGAGGTACCATATTTTCTAAACACTCTAGCTAGCTTGGAGAATATATTTTATGTTATTCATGGCCCTAATGGAGCTATTTATTGATCCACTGTACAACCTTATTAGCGGTGTAGGGTGTAATACCATTTTCAATTGCAAAAATAAGTCCCTTTTGCGAAGGTATTACTTTTTTTCCAAAGGTACCACGTTTTTGGACTGAAGGTACCACTTTTTGGTGTCCAGGTACCATGTTTTCTAAACACTCGTTTAGTTAGATCGGAGAATATTTTGTGTTATTCATGGCATTAATGGAACTGTTTATGGATGTAATGTGCAACCTCATTAGCGGTGTGGGGTTTAATACCATTTTCAATTGGAAAAATAAGTCCCTTTTTTTTTGTGTCGAGGTACCATGTTTTCTAAACACTCTAGCTAGCTTTGAGAATATTTTGTGTTATTCATGGCCCTAATGGAGCTATTAATTGATTCACTGTGCAACCTAATTAGCGGTGTAGGGTGTAATACCATACGTATCAACTTACCCCCTTCCTTTAAGTAACAGACGTTTAGTGCTGATGTCAGGATGGATAAATGGGTAGAATGTCAATTTTGCCCTTTACAATGGCTGAAATGACATTTTTAACGTTATTGACCATTGCAGAGTTACAAAACTACCCTTATTCATTCAACTGCTTCAATTTTGGAATGAAATATTTTTGATACTACATTCATGCAATAGTCGAAGAAAATTCAGGAAGGCTCTAGTATAATAAGCCATACAATACTAATTCATAAAAACCCAATGCAAAGGAGAACTTCATTTCATTCCATCTAAGGTAGATGCCAGTATAATACGCCATACAATGGTTGCAAAACCATACCAACCTAATCCACAATAAAAAGTTGCAAAGCTATTCTCCTTTAAAAGTAGAAAAATAGCTCACACCAACAGATTATAAAATAGCAGCAAAAAAAAATGACACTGTTCAACATTACAAATGTCTCATATCCCACATCATTTCAAATACTTTTTGGATTCTGAGATCCTCCTATCCCACTTCCTCTAGCTCCCAATTGGGTAAATATAGGTATGTATTTCCTTGTTATGCGGTAAACCATTTTGTGGCCCTTTTCCTTTGTGTGGTCCTAATGAGAGTCCTCTTGTTTGTGTATGCGATGGACATGCATTCTCTGTGTCTCTGTGTGTAGTTGGAACAAAAGAACCACTTTGTCTTTGTGACTGTCACATGCAACAAAAATTAAGATATTAAGGCTTTGTATAATAATAATAAGGAACAAAAGCAATATAAAAATAGATAATTCGAAACTTTGAATAATAATAATTTTAAAAAGAATTATCAAAATTAAAAAAGAATTTATAATTCGCCCAAAAAAGACAGCACTATCATGGTTAACACGAAAAAAAAAAAAAAAAAAAAATTGCCCAATTAATACAACTATGAAAGAATTCACAGATTTGTACCAGATATATATATATATATATATATATATATATATATATATATATTTGATATTACGAGACAAAAGACAACTTCAAAAAATAATAAATAAATAAAAAATCACTCATTCCTACCAACAAATGGCCTTTGGAAAGTTTTCATTAACTGTGCAGAATATATAACATGGAAAAGTGCAAATGAACATTGAGCTATAGTACTAACAACTAAGTTATACTAAGAAATTATTCTACAGCAAAAATTATATCAAAAGTCGAGGAAATTACATCTTATAAGCCTTGATAGATGAAGATGGAAATAGTGAGGTTCCTTGAGGTGAATGGTAGCTTGTTGGCTAATGAATAACACAAAATATTCTCAAAGCTAGCTAGAGTGCTTAGAAAACATGGTACCACAACGCCAAAAAAAGAGACTTATTTTTGCAATTAAAAATGGTATTAAACCCCATACCACTAATTAGGTTGCACATTACATCCATAAACAGCTCCATTAAAGTAATGAATAACACAAAATATTCTCCAATCTAGTTAAGCGAGTGTTTAGAAAACATGGTACCTGGACGCTAAAAAATGGTACATTCAGTTCAAAAACGTGGTACATTTGGGAAAAAAGTGATACCTTTTCAAAATGGACTTATTTTTGCAATTGAAAATGATATTACACCACACACCGCTAATTAGGTTGCACATTGAATCAATAAATAGCTCCATTAGGGTCATGAATAACACAAAATATTTTCCAAGTAGCTAGAGTGTTTAGAAAACATGGTACTTCGACGTGAAAAAAGGGGACTTATTTTTGCAATTGAAAATGGTATTAAACCCCACACCACTAATGAAGTTGCATATTACATCTATAAACAGCTCCATTAATGCCATGAATAACACAAAAAATTCTCCAATCTAGTTAAACGAATGTTTAGAAAATATGGTACCTGGACGCCAAAAAGTGGTACCTTTTAGTCCAAAAACGTGGTACCTTTAGAAAAAAAATGGTACCTTCGCAAAAGGGACTTATTTTTGCAAATAAAAATGGTATTACACCCTAAACCGCTAATTAGGTTGCACAGTAGATCAATAAATAGCTCCATTAGGGCCATGAATAACAAAAAATATTCTCCAAACTAGTTAGAGTGTTTAGAAAACATGGTACCTCGACGTCAAAAAAATGGACTTATTTTTACAATTGAAAATTGTATTAAATCCCACACCGCTTATTAGGTTGCACATTACATCCATAAACAGCTCCATTAACACTATGAATAACACAAAATATTCTCCAATCTAGGTAAACGAGTGTTTAGAAAACATAGTACCTGGATGTCAAAAGGTAGTACTTCAGTCCAAAAATGTGGTACCTTTGGAAAAAAAAAATGGTATCTTCGCAAAAGGACATTTTAGGCAGCACATAAAATAGGAAGAAGGGTATTTTAGACAACAGAAATATGAAACAATATTTTTTTCATGTGCCACCTCAGCTTTTGGATCAAACACATTTTAGAGAAATTATTGACTTTGACTCGATGTATGGATAAATATGGACCACTAAGTTCATTTATATGTAATAATCCCTTATTATTATGCTAGCCCTAAGCAATCCACAAAATTGAATTTTGAATGTCACACAAAAACTTCAATCATGTAAATTATAAATTTCATTAGCAAAATACCCAAAAAAAAAAAAATTATAAGCGATTACAAGTATTCAACAATACTGCACCAAAATTCGGCATTTTAAAAACAGAGGTCATACAAACACATCTCTCTTCAGATTAATTAAATTAAGTACTACTTGATTACAGTCTCTGACAAAAAGATAGATAAACCCATTATAACAGTGAGTAAACGAATAAAGTTAATTATAACCAAACAAAAGCAGAACTCTTAAATGGACATACATTTGTTGTGATCCTCAATTTCCTAGGGGCAATTCGCGTGATTATGGTTGGGAGCTCCAACAATTGTTTCTGCAATGAATTTGCAGAGTAATATATCAGAGTACAAGAGCAGAAATGAGCTCTATGTCAGCTTGGGGAAAGGCACATGGGACATTTTCAAATAAGGATGCCTTGTTCTCACGAAATGGAAATGGGATCTTCCACCTTCTTACGTTTGGCTTGGGGATCATCACCTTCTTCGTGGTTATTAGTGCTAGGCACCGCATGTGGACCCAAAAGAGATGAGTGCTTGCTTGTAATCTGACGGCCTGCCCTGAGCTTAGGGCCCCAATGCCTTTCAGGATTTGGAAGGAACCGTGCAACCTTCTTGGCTTGTGCTTTGCTAAGGGATGCAACAGCTCGAGCAAAATTAGCCTGCTCATAAAAAGAAATAGAGACGGGACAATAGAATTATTAGCAGAAAAGCACGGGTTCTTCCCTAGCCCAGTAGAGTTCAAGAATCTGAGAACTTCCAACATTTTTTTTGGTCTCAGATAGATTGGTAACTGAGAGTTCTAAGGTTTTATATTCTTACACACCTAGAACGAAAATGACTTTTCATCTTAATGCAAGTGTTTGTGTGTGCACGCAATTTCCTGCAAATTTGGTTTCAAATGGAGTCGACAAATTTTGAAAAGGACATTGAAAACATTACAGTAAAGGTGAATTGCGGCCGTGCATGGCAGGTGAAACTTACTTGAAGGACTGGTTCCTTTGCAAGTATAACACTTCCTGCCTGCTCTGGAGGTTGAACTTTCACAGGATGAATTTTGACCTACAAACGAGAAAACCATAAAAACCACCCAATAAACCATCAGTCACATCATAACCGCTGCATAAACCACAATCTAAGCAGTTAAATTAACATTACAGGGCTGGTGGCAAGAATGGCCAATATTACAGCCAAATCTCCTAAGGTATGCCGTGTGTGCTCAACGACTCCCCTCCCATTTCCATTAATGATTTTTTGTATAATAACTCAATTGCCCTTGGCCTTGTGTGGAAACTGGAAAGGCATCAATAGCCTTAGATTTTGCCTTGAAATGACAAAAAAAATCATCCATACATTGACGAAAATGCCCTTGAAATGATTGATATGATGATACACAATGAAATAGTCAAATACAAATGAAATCAATTTTCATATCAATTTCATATCATTAAATTTGTAAATACAAAATTTAAAAATTTTATAAATATAAAGATTCGATCTAAATTTCAACTTATTAATAACAATTGGATTAAGTTTTAAAATTTATAACTTATAAAATTATTTAAGGTGTAATATGAATTGATATTTTATTTTATAACTTGAAAAAAAATTATATAGATTTTATCTATTTCTCTCATCGATCTCCCAATCGCCACATCTCTCATCTCCACATATATGTATATATATTATATAATTTGTGTATATACAGATTTAACTTGAATTTTAGGGTGACTCCATTGATCTAGCTATATATGGGGCTGCTGATAACACAATCGAGCAGTTATATCACAATGTCATATAATGTCCATGAGATGCGGAGCTTTGATCAGTCCCATCAAGGAATAGATTTCTGTCATATGGTGAGGAGTCAAGGATTGATTCCGAATTGCACTATCTTCCCGGAGGAAAATTTTGGGGAAGTCGAGATGACAAAAGAGTCGGTGATTGAAAGCAAAAATGCAGGAAATGGTGCCTCTGAGAAAGCAAATGAATCATCAGAGAAAAAGTTCGGAAATATGAAAAAGTCCGATTTGCATGTTCTATGTCTCTTCTACACAAAAAGGCTCTTACTTGAAATCAGACTCAGAGGCTTCCCCAAAATTGAGCCCAAGAAGCAAATTCATGCATGAAAGATCTCCAGGACAGACAGAGATAGTCCTGGTGATCTTCTTCGTCTTCACTCACCATCACTAACACCGTTGTTGTTTCATCAATCTCGACTCATTCCCAAACTTCTCAATCCCAAGAACTCTGGCTTTGTCCACTTCAGTGGATTCGACCAACAAATCGTACACCATAGGGGTTTATGAGAAAGAAGGGAAAGGAGAAGAAGAGAGAGAAACACAGAGAGGGAAGAAGAGAGGAGAGAAACTGAGGGGGAGTGGTTTTTATATATGTTGGGCAGAAAAGTAATTTCACATCAAAGATTTTTTCAATTATTAAAGTATTAAAACATCAAGGGTAAAAAGTACATTTTATATCATAACTTAACATTCGTCTGCTCACCAACGGCTACAGTAGTACATGAAGTAATATTGGCCATTATTATGACAAACCTCAGGAGAGGTTAATGGATTGTACCCAAATTAAATAGTAAGCATGCCAGCTATTTAACGGGAAATAAGAAGACAAGCCCACATGAGAATCTTGGCCTTTTGAAACTGCTACCTCAAATATCAACTTAGACACCCAAAAATAAAAAATAAATAAAAAGAATGGATGATGAAGATGCAGGAAATTTAAGACTTTATTAATTTAATCTTGTTAACAAAGATGACTTTTGAAGATTTTAATTCATCCTCATTGAAACATCTACAATTTACTATAAGAAAAGGAAAATGCAAGCACATGCACATGCACTCAAACAGAAAACACAAACGTATAGCACTTACCCAGCAACGCATGATGTCCCAAATGACATCCATGGGAGCATCTGATTTCAGTCCCAATGGATTTACATGAGTTCCTGAAATACGATATCCTGCATTAATTACAGCAGAGCGGAATATTACTGCAGACGGGGAAGTGCATTTTAGTGTAGCACAGAGATTGTGCAAACTCAGAAACAGAGGAGCATCAGGCAATTCCTGCATAACATACACCAGGAAGAATAAGTATTTAATGTAATGTGTATTGCCAATCAATTTTTTGTCTGGATATGTATATAGGTATAACCAGTCAACCTACATGAAAGAAAATAAGGGGCATGAAATTAATTGTGTCACAGTAACAAGAACAAAAAGTTTCCTTAATACTATTTCAACACCTTCTACCCAAATACAGTCATGCCCTCATTATTTTCTTTAGACAGACATGGAGAACTGAACAAGCTCGTATGTAGTTGATGTTATAAAACAATAAATAAAATACCATTTTGAAGGACATAAACACACCTCTGAAACTGTCGTCAATACAGCAGATATTCGATCATAAGCAGGATAGCGGTCCTCCATTGATTTCACGTCTGCTAGCATGGAAGTTACCCATTCTTGATCATGAATGGCAGCAGACCATATTGGCCCACCCATGTTGTATTTCTTGCCACAGTCCCTGCATTCTTGAGGAACAACAGGACCATACCCAGGTAGGTACCTGATGCTGTTATTCTTGAGGAAGGAAAAAAAATATCAAGAAGTTGTCATGATTTGGAATATTAGAGAATTGGAAACATACTATTCACAGATCACATGGACCCATTAATTAACTTCCAAAAGACACCCTTGCCCTATGGCTCACAACTAATAATAGAGTTACTATAATCTTTGATATATTCACTTCTTTTATACAGTTATTCTCCAATTGCCTGTTGTTAAGTGTCTTATGTACTCCCAGTTTCTAAGCAACCAGTCAGAGCATCAGTAGTCAAGTTCACCTATAACACAAAACTGCAGTACCATGCTGCCACAGACCCCTACAGATAGCAAGTTTTGTTCCAAAGGAGCCCGGACCTGGAGACAAACCATTTTAAAGCTGGTGAAGTAATTGCAAACAACCACTCAAGCTTATGGCTTTCTAAAGCAAAAGCACTAGTCAGCTCAATCTGAGTTGCAATCAAAACAATTCCAAGTTTAATATAGTTACTCAACCGCCCACTGAGATGCTACGACCACCCCAAGACTCTACCTGCACGAACAAAATTGCCAGCTCTACATTAGGTAAGAAGCAATCAGTAGCAACCTGTGCACCTCTTCCTTCGTTTCTTTCCTTTCAACCCCCCCTCCTCCTCCTCTGTCTCTCTTGCCTGTGTAAATAGAATGCGGAAATTTGTAATTCCAAATTTGATCCCACTGACAAGCTATCTCCACCCTAAACCCAGTATGTTCCAACTTATTGCCAGCTTTAGACAGGATGCAAGTGATAGAGCATTCATCAAAATAGCTCACAGAAACTATATGATAAATTAATTTGTAAATGAAACTCTGTGCACGTGCATATGCATGAAAATGCCACCAGAATGGAAGATACATCAAAGAGAAAAATTAACAAATATATAGACAAACAACACACACACACACGTATGTGCACTGTACACACACGTAAGATTGAGAAGTATCACAGAACTATGAAACATCAACATCGATATGTAAGTGAAGGCAGATAGGGAGAGAGAGAGAGAGGTATGTCCTAACCTTCTACACAAGTTCAGCAAACATATGCATCACAAAAATTCATACATGGTACATATCATTTATGCCAAGATATGCAGCAATATTTAAGATACACAAAAGGGATATTGAATAGATTCATACCTTGGACACAGTCCTCCCAATCGACTGAAGATGGAAAGAATCACAACCATTGCACTGATAAACATAAGAGAGCTTAAGCGGAGTGTTTTTCATTGCACTTGCAGAACTGCAATCAATCATTTCAGATTTCAATCAAATGGAAACTAATAGACTAATAGAACAACCAATTCAGAAAAAATATGAAGAGAAATGACCTATGTTAGGTTACCCACTAAATAATGTAAGCCATAATCAAGAATAGAGGGCACTCACGTATATATGCGAACAAAAACCCGAACATAAAAGTCCATCTGAACTGAGAGCACTGGAACAATATATCGCTTGTATCTATTTGCATGGCTCTGAATTTAAGAAAGCAAATAGAACTTTGAGACCACATTGGTAACTGAATTATAAAATGAAGAACAAGCACAAAGAGTTATGTGATAAAAAATTATTTACCACTTCCAGCTTTAAGATATATATAAAACACGAAGACCAGTTAAATAATTAATGGTAAATATGACATACATTGTTGGTATAGAAAGCCATAGCAGTAGTATACAAAAGAGAACCAGGAGAACAAAAATTGACTGAATGACAGGTAATGACAAAAAAGGAGCCATTATTTGGTACAACGGTAAAAGCTTGACTGACAAGTGTGAGGAAGCGAGTCAATTAGTGGACTCTACCACAATCCATATCCTACAAAATATAAATTCTCAAAATACCCTTAACTTCAAGAACTAAATAGAACAATAATAATATTGAACTAGAAAAAAAATAAAAATAAAAAAAGGCCCAAGACAACCTAGAACTCAACTGTAGAGGTTTGAGTGGGTACTAAACCCTGAAATCCAACCAATTTTCAATAATTCCATCTCTAAATTATGTTTCTACAATATTTTATGAACTGCATCAGCCATACTGCAGAAGGTTATTATAGTCATTTTGGTCATTTTATACATATCATAGGTTAGTTGATCATCAGAATATTTGGGGATGCAAGCCACTCATTTTGGCTAGGATCTAGACATAACTCAGTCAAAATGCTTTGAAAATATAGTCAACAAAAAAAGAGGTTTATGAAGATAAAAAGAATTTCTGAAAAGAACTTTCTCAGATAACTGATCAATCACTTACACCGCCTCTCATTGTTTCTCTATAATATGTTACAACATTAAGAAATATAAATTACCAAAAAAATTCACTGATACAGTTGTCATTTTACATAGGGGAAAGTCTGAAAAACACCCGTGATTTTCAATTTGTGCGAATTACACCCTTTTTGTTAGATTTGTTTATAAAAATCCATACTAGATATAAAAATGTACAATTAAGCACCTCCGGTGAGAATTCCGGTGACATGCACATGACCATTTTAAACCCTTTATTCCCAAAATTGCCCTTTTACATTTCTTTACTACCCCTCACCATATATATGTGTGTGTGTGTGTGTGTGTGTGTGTGTGTATAGTATATATGGGTTTTCAACTAGGTTGGCTTTCAAAGTTAGAGCACCTTCAGCTGAGCTCAAACAATTTATCTGTTACGGTTCCTACCCTGCTTTACCATATCTCAACCATCACATTATTTTCGATTTCCATTAATCTTCTCTTAACTGGAAGCCTCCTTCTAGATTTAGGCTGGACTCTTCCAAAACTCCGAACAATTTTTTTTGGATGCAACCAATTCTCTTGATCAATTCCAGCATCAATAGCCAATGCTACTGGACTCGTAGCTTTTGATGGTAGTTGGAATACTCTTACAGGGCCTTTACCAATGAATTTGGGGATTCTTGTAGATTTTGTAGTTTGCAGTTACAGAGAGAGAGAGAGAGAGAGGGTAAGTTCAGAGTTGAGAACGAATAGAGATGGAGGCGATTGGGGAGGCTGAAATGATTTGCCCAAAAAAAATTATATAAAAAGATCATAAAAAATTTCACCAAATAGGATTTAGTTTGCAAAACAAGAATTATAGACCTTGATTAGTTGATTTAGAAAAAAAATTAAAACAAAACCCATAGATAAACTGAAATATATGGGTTTTAAACTTCCAATTCTTGTAGATTTTGTAGTTTGCAGCTGCAGAGAGAGAGAGATTGGGCAAGCTTGAGAGTTGAGAGACAGCGGCTGAAGCTTGCGAAACGCGAACCCGAACTGGAACAGCGGGCGATGGAAACTGAAAGATATGGGTTTTGATTTTTTGAACAATCTGAAATGATATGCCGATATGGGTTTTGATATAGGTAATAGGTTTTGAACTTTTGATTCTTGCAGACAGATAGATAAACTCAAATATATGGGTTTTGAACTTCTGATTCTTGTAGATTTTGTAGTTTGCAGTTGCAGAGAGAGAGAGAGAGAGAGAGAGAGAGAGAGAGAGAGAGGGCAAGAACGAGAATAGAGATGGAGTATTGATTGAGGGCTATTTTAGTCTTTTCCTATTTTTTCGTTATTTTATTATTATTTTTAAATCATAGATAGAGGGTTATTTTAGTCTTTTTGTAGCTCCGGTACCAGTCAATATAGGTCAATGCCCAAAGGCACTAATCCACACCATATTTAAAGTATAGGGGAGGTGAACAAACAATGGGGGATTATACGCACTATCTCGATATCACAAGTGAGTAAAGCGCACGCGAGCCTTTTACATATAATTATATACCATGAAAAAGAGAGGGAAAAAAAGTGATAAAAGGAGCAGCTGAACAACTAAGCAGATTGACCAATGAAGTTGTCAAATTTGAGAGAAGTAGCCACAAGACCACTGAGGGATCCTTCACTCACTTCTTCTAATACCCCAACCCGAGAGAGAAACAGAGACAGAGATTAGTCAATGATATTCTATGTTGACATGTAACAGTTTCCTTACGATTATGGAAATACCTCAATGCAGGCAAGGAGGATCCTCAAAGCCATTTCATGGCAATATTTTCCTTTCAGTGGATAGGAACCATACCTAATTCCACAAGCAGCATTATAGATAAGATCACTAATCATAGGCCATTGATCTATTGAAGGCGAGGAGAGTTTAAAACCTTACTTGGAATAGCAAACCTCCCCATTACCCCCACATAGCACTGCCATATCAGTTGCTGTGCACATCAACATGCCTCCATCAACAACTGATTGCACCGCAGAGTCCAAGAACACCGAAGGTGAACCATAAGGATCAAGATCAACCTAAAATACCAGCAACAATAAAGCATGAATACTATCTCATTGTAAAGCTAATGAGTGGACAGCCCTGGAAAACCATCTGTCCAAAATCAGAATATGGCAAAGATGGGTAATAACCACTACTTCAAAGTGATCAGTATTATCTACAGCATTTCCATCAATTATGCTCAAGATAAGCAATTTCTTTTATACAGTTTTTGAATGAAATTGATTGCAAATAAATAATAAATAATAAATACATATCCTGACAAGCTATCTCCATTTGCAAATCTTCACATACGATTAGAGAAAGGAAATCGCGAGTAAAAAAGATGTATGGAGCATACCGCGTCAAATTCTTTTGGGTGGGTGAGCATGTAAACTCGAGCATCGTCAAGGTGTGATTCCACCTTTGAACATGCCACTGAACCGTTAAATTTTATATTTCTCCTGCAAGCTTCAACAGAAGCTGCAAAAAGCAAAAATAATAAATCCTCTCATGCATAGGGCTCAGTTACACACCACAAAAGAAGCATCTTAATTTTCAACATAAAACAATATGTGAAAGATGGTAATTCAATTTGTAATGAAACATATATTCAGCATTCATACAGAATTGAATATACCAAAAAAAATATAGGAAACAGCATCTTGATGGAGTTCTATGAGCTTAATCGCACATGAAGATGTTCTTTTCAGTTCAAAGAAAAAGTGGCATCCTAAACAATATGAAGTCACAGGATGTAAAGCATAAAAGATCTAACTACCTTTATCATTGTCCAGGGCCACAACTTGACCTATCCCTTCTATTTCACGTGCATATCTTAAAGCTCTTAACCCAGAAGCTGACAAGGCCTATCACCACACAAGAAAGCCCAAATTAAGATAAAGGCCAAAGACAATGTGCATTAAATTTTCCACACAACATCAATTGTATGTGATAAACAAACAAATAATACATCATAATAACAGAAGATACAGGAAAAACCTCAAGTACTCTAGGTGGCTTTAATTCCCCGCGTATTTTCCAGTCTGGGGTTTTGACTGGTCCTTTTGATATGCTACATGGTTCATCATGGGATATCTCTTCTGACTCTTCACATTCCCCATTAGGTTTTTCATTATCCACAACAGAATCGATAGGTGCTTCTGGTTCAGAAGTATTCTCAATTGATACCTTTTGTGCCGTTCTTGTTCTTCTGGATAGCATTGATTCATGCTCCTGTTTGCGTTTGGATATAAATGTCCTCAAGACAGCAATAGAAATGTCCCTGTTGTTCACCTGGTTATCATAAAGTTGCAAGATCAGAATCCACTTAGTCCACCAGAAAACCACAAAGGCAACTGGCTTGGAAGATTTTACTCCAACAAAACAATGGTTATTAACACAAAGCAAATAATTACCCATCCTCTATTTACAGGAATCTCTCCAACACAGATAGCAGTTGATTTGAAGATAAAATTTTACTTGATTAGTTATGCATTACCATGGTAATCGACCATTATACGGAATTAAATAATCATTGTTCACAAAACTAAAAAAAGGAGCTGTTGTAAAGCTTTGAAGAAATCAAACCAAATGGAAGCTAACCATGATGTATAAACTTGGATGCTAAATGAGTCAATTGAACTCCCAAGGTACCATCTTATGTCTTTTTACAAAATACTCTGTTATACAGAAAGTATATTATTCTCCAGAAAACCACAAAGGCAACTAACTGGCTTGGAAGGTTTTACTCCAACAAAACAACGGTTATAACTTAAAATACAAAGTAAATAATTACCCATTCTGTACTTACTCACAAGAATCTCTCCAACACAGATAGCGGTTGATTTGAAGATAAAATTTTGCTTGATTAGTTATGCATTACCATGGTATTCGATCATTATAGGGCATTAAATAATCATTATTCACAAAACTATAAAAGGAATTGTTGTAAAGCTTTGAAGAAATAAAATCAAATGGAAGCTAGCTATGATGTACAAACTTGGATGCTAAATGAGTCGATTGAACTCCCAAATCCCAAGGTATCATCTTATGTCTTTTTTACGAAATACTTTGTTATACAGGAAGCATATTATTCTCACAATGAGAATTCAACTTCAAGCCTCACGAATCATAACTAGCGAAGGTGATTGGTTTTCTACGTATTTCAACAAGATAATCCAGGGAGAGATGAGCAATAAAAATGTATTTTTTTGTAGATGAGTTGTCCAGATTTCCTATTCATATTATTTGTGATTGGGAATCAACTGATCCCCACAGCCATCTGAAGGAAACCGTTTGTTATATTGTAAAATTTGAGAACAAATTATTGAAATCTTCTTGAATACTCATAACAACTAACCAAAAAAGGAAACCTAAGCCAACAAGGTAACTCGGGATAAAGAATGCCCTTCACTAATTAAAAAAAATGCATCACTATTGTTTATACCTAAACCCATGTGATCCGAGCAGTTGAAGAGCTACCATGTGAGATTGCTGGGAAACGATACCTGGTAGGAATAGGGAATCCCACACTTAGTATATCTTCAAAGAAATTAGCAGCATTAGACTGAAACAAGTGCAGGAGATTTTGGTCTAGTGGACAGACATGAATTTTTCATACATGATCTAGGCTGAAGTTGGTTGTTAAACGGTTATCAAAATCCAGAACAAGTGAGGTGGTAGGAGTGCTCAAAAACTTACCCGTGCCAGAAACCGTGATTATGGAAGGTCAAGGTAATTGTTATCCCCACAACACTCATATCCAGAGTATTTCTTAAAAGGGGAAATGCGTGTTGGTTGACAAAAGGCACCTTCCTAAAGAAGAACAAGACAACTATCATCTAGCAATTGTTCAAAGTAAGTCTCCCGACTCAACTGTAAAAGTTAAGGCTTCAGAAGGACAGCCCACATCAAATTTACAACTTCCCCTTCAGCACTGTAACACAGTTCATGGTTCCTTAGCTTAGCCTAGTATAGCTCAATTGCTTAACCTAGCCACTAGCCTAATTCCTGTGTGCTCCACGTACACTTGTTAACTCGACTCTCAACCCAGTTCAACAACCCTACCTTGGTCAAACCTCGAGATACGAATGAAGTTGTGATTCTAGTTACCAATTACCAACAACAAAAGAGAGAGAGATAAGTTATGACTCTCCTCTCCTATAAAGGTACTGTGTATCCTGCTTTCTGCTTTCTTCATACTAAGTTTATTAATCTTTGCTTAAATTGTTTAATACTCACTGTTTCCAAATGAGTTCAAAATCCTTTCAACTTCATGTACAAGTTCTTGGACATGAGACAGTGACATCTGAAGGGAAAGGTCACTCTTACTTCCCGATAGTTTATTTGACCATTCTGTGATCGAGTTCAATCATATAGGGATAATTTAAGTCTGATGTACCACACACCAGCCCTTATAAGACTTTAGCACACTGGCAAGAGAACTCATGAACTTGGGCATGGACCTACATGAATGTGAGGGGGGAAATTGCCTACCCCCTAATTTTTTTTTAAGTAATATACACTTGTTATTTAGGTTTTTTTTTTTTAATTATATACCCATCCCCCAAAATTTAGAAGGATTAGATCATTTTAATATCTGTAATAAAATTTACCATAACCTAATGTCCTCACATTGAAAGCCGATATAAAGAACACTTTCATTTCTATGTTTGGCCAACAAAAAAGGGGGGAAATGCAAAATTTAAGATATTTCCAATGTAACGCATATATTTCCAAATCCAAATCAGCATATACTGAAACCAACCAAAAAGTTGGAAGACAAAGGTTGCTTCTAAAGCCAAAAAAAACACTGAACCACAAAAGGGTTCGTTCAATTCAGCAATTACATTTGGAAGGTAAACAAATAAGTACATTTCAAGAAGTGAAGGACTTCAAAAAAATTCAACAAATAACATAACTAAATAGCAATGACCCATAAAAAATTAATCTCAGAAATCACAATCTCAGACTCGGCAATTTTTATGCGTAAAACATAGCAAAGACATTCTTTCAGTGAAAATCACATACACAAGGCGGCAATTTTAATGAAGCATCAAGACCTATGTGGTATAGGGAGGACCTGGGTTTTGTTGTAAAACACTTCGTTCTTGGCCTGCATAATAATCTCTGCCTCTCCTTCTTTGATGATAGCGTAATCATTCAGATCAGACGCCATAGTTTGGCTGCTCTGCTTCTCTTCCTCCCCTGTTTTCCCATCACCACCCATATCGCAATATATGGTTAGGGTTTTTCTAATTTCCACTCCTAGTGGCAGTGACGGCGGCCGCGGCAAGGGCAGTGACGGTGGCCGCGGCGGCGGAAGAAGAGGGAGATGAGAGTGAACAGGAAAGAATCAGTGCAGATAAATGTCAAGATACATATATATTAGAATCTTAGATACACGGTTATACATACAAACATGCCCGATAAGTTGAACGAAACCCTATTGAGCGTTATATATATATATATATATATATATATATATATATATTATATATATACGCTCTCACACTCGCACGAAGTGATGCTCTTTTGAATTTTACTTTTTAAACGATGACTATTATACAATATTTTTTATGATATTTATAGGGAATAAATTATCAAATTTAATTATAGTGGGTCTATTTATTTTTTTATAAATTCAAATTAAATGAGGCAATATTAGCATTTTATTTTTCTATAATTGCACTACACTCCTAAAAATAATGACATTTCGATCTCTAATTTTATAAATAAATAATTTTTTTTTTCTCAAATAACATAATTACCTTTTCGATTATGGAAAGATTTTCTAATCTTTCTTTCTTTCCCCAATTAATGTTTTGAATAGCTTACATCCTCTCTCTCAGTTCTTTCTCTATTCTCTATAACTTATCTTCTATCTCTTTAGGATTTAATATTAATCTTTGTATGTAACTTTATAAAAACTCACTGATTAAAAAATGATGGAGTTGAACAAAGTAACTAATCTTATTAACATAAAAAGTATGGAAGAACTATGGTAACTTTTTGAATTATGAGCTATTCAACCACATCTATGCTAATGGTGATGGTAATATTTTCTTTTATTTTTCTTTTCGCATCTTTTGCTTTGAGTTTAATTTAAACTTTTTTTTCTTCTTTCATGTGAATTTTAAGAATTAATTTGGAATACCTTTGAATCTTGAAGTTTAACTTTTTGATGAAAAAAGTTCCAACTGTTTTAATAATAAAATTTCAATAATAGCAATATTGCGAAAAAAAGAAGAATAGAGATATGGATATTATATACAACTATGTTTCGGTTTTTATAGCTCTGATCAAGTATTTGTCTCCTTATTTCTTTTCTCTACTTTTCTTAAAGTCAATTGAAACATAATTCTAAATTTAATTATATCAAAACCTACAATCATAGAACTCACCTTCCAAATATATCTATATATATATTTTTCCTTGGGATATAATTTATTTATATTTTTTTGAATGATTAACAATATGTAATATTAATTGAAGATAACAGAAATACAGATATATATATTCTCGGCAAAGAGTAATAGAAGAATTTTAAATATCTGATATAAAAAGAAAAAAGGGTGAAGAAGATCTGGATGAAAGGGTTATTTTGTCCAAAAATAGTTAGAGCATTTAATATGTCAGGTGATTGGTTTATTGCCACATTAAGCTAATATTTTTAGGTAAGTAAAAAAGGTAGGAAAAGGAAGTTTATAGTGCAAAGCTAATTTTGGTATAATAAAATAAGAAATGTTGCATTAACTAGTTTAGGGACTTTTTTGTAAATTATTTTAAAGAAAAGTAAAGTGTATAATACATTATTTCCTTTTAAAATGACTAAATTATCTTTCAAGTTTGAATGTTTATGTTATTAAGCTAAAAAATTTTGATTGAAAACTTTTAGAAAATATATGGAGATGCAATTATCTTCTTTTGCCGTTATTTATTTATTTATTGTTTTTTTTTTTTTGAGACTTTTCAATTGGGAGCATTATTTTGAGACGACTAAAAAAGAAAATATGAACCCTTGTTGTTGAATGGAGGGAGTATATTATTATTTAACTTTTATTTATATATATATATGGATTTTATTAATTTGTTGAAAATATGAACTTTGCTTTGCTTGGGAGGGTAAGATGATGAGCTCCCCTTATCGGCCATTATAAGGTAAAATCTGTATGCATGAACTCATTCCTTGTGTTTTTTTTTTTTTTTTGGTTAAAAGAACTCATTCGTTGTTCAATGCATAACATATATCATAAATGGGTAAACCCGCTTTGTAGCACCCATTGCTTTTGTTTTTATTTTTTGTTTATTTATTTATTTATTGTTTTATGGAGGAGGTATGCTATGGACGGACTTAAAAAATTATGTGAAAGAGAGTAGATCTTTAACAAGAAGAATACAAAATTCAAATCATAGGGTGGGGCAATAGTTGGTTTTTTTTTTTTTTTTTGGAGGCAATTTTTAAATTTTATAGGTATATAATTCAAAAAAATATATTAATGGGTCTATAAAATAACAAAAAATATATATTTCAATACGGGACAATTGCTCCCACTGAACCTTCACTAGGTCTGTGGTTGGTACCCCCACACCTTACGGGTGAGACTAATCACCCTAAGGCACACACAACACCTCACATGCCACTTCAACCTGACAAGTCCCGGACTCAACCTGATTACAACTCAACCAGTATGAGTACTTCCACGACAAAAATTATTTATCCAGAAACTCAAATCTAAAACCAAGGCTCGAACCAAAAATTGTGTATGCTTTCTCATTCTGAGGAGTCCATATAATTTGTTTTGAAGGATTTTGTATTACAAATAAAAGTTTAATGAGATATGAAAATGACGACGTGTAGTCTCTTTGTATTAATCAAATTGTACATGGGAAAATTAAAGAAAAAAATCCTATAGATAACAAAAGGGCGTTTTCTATAATTTACTCCTATTAATAAAGTACACTTACATGGGCATATTACACCACTAAAAAAACACCTAAAGTATACTTACTTGTGCATATTACACCACTGAAAAAATACACTCCTAAAATTTTATTTTGATGCAAATAAGACCATTTGACAAATTTAAATCCATTTTATAAAATATATAAAAATAATAACCTGTTTAGTTTGTAACTTTAAAAACAATTTTCAGAAATTTAAAAAACAAAGAACAATTTTTAAAATACTATAAAAGACTATTATCTCTGTAAAACAAACCTTTTTATTAAGTTTTCATAAAAGATGCCTTTTTTATAAAATTTTCAGACAACAGAACCAAGTAGAATTTTTTTATCCAGTTTTTTGTTTTCACTTTTCCGAAAACAGAAAATTATTTCCATAATTACAAATCAAGAAAACCCTATATAATTTTGAAAAATGACCAAAAATGACACTAATGGAGAATGTCCCTCCTGTCCAAAAAACACTCAATTTGGTGCAAATAAATCATTTTAACAAATTTAAAAATAAAGATAAAAATAATAAAAAAAAATAAAAATAAAGTTCGAACTAAAGAAAACATAATTTTTCAAACCAGTGCATTTTTTAATTTTTTTAATAGTGTTGGAATGAGAAAAATAAAATAAAATAAAATAGTAGACCGTAATCTAAAAAAAACCTCAAATCCTTATTCTACAAATTTTCAAAGTTTAAAAAATAAAAATAAAAATAAATAAAAAATAGACAGAAAAAAGTTTTAAACATATATATATATATATATATATATATATATATATATAAAGTAAGTTGCACATAATACCCTAATACTATGTAGGACATTTTTGGAAGAGTAAAATGGCAAAACAGATATTACAACACTAATTTATATCAGTAGAAGTATTTTTACACAATATGAAAAGATCGAAAATATTTTTTGCGCAGTTTTTCAGATTGGGGGGGTTTAAAATTAACATGCGAAATATACTTGCTTTAGGGTGTTTCGCGTCCCTAAAACTGAAGAATGCTTGATTCCTAGCCTCCTCACTAACAAAATTTACCATTCACAAATTACCCTTTTCCAAGTTAATTGTGACATTGTTAAGGTCTACAAATCAAATCAAATCCCAAAAAAGTTCTATATATATCACAATGTGCTATTGCTACAAAATGAATGTGAAATTTTCCAAGTCAAAAAGGAAAATTAATCAATAATTACAATGTCTTGTGTGCTCAAAAACATGATTCTTACTTGAAATGAACTACTACTGAACAAACGTAAATTCCAAGTGGAGCAATTAGTAACAAAAGAAATACTTGCATAACCACGATCTCCAATAGAAGATAGCTCCAGTCTTAGTCCCACCATTAATGAATTTGTCAATTGCATCTCGATCCTCTCCACATAACCATCTCATAGCCATAGTCGAAGATTTCTTTTTGGTAAAAATATGTGTTGGTGACCACAATTAAGAGAGAAAAATTTTTCAATGAACTTTAAACTTATTAAATGATAAATTAGTAACCAAATTTAAAAGTTAATTATTAATTAGCGACCAATTGAAGATAATTTCGTCAAAAACACTTCCGTTTATTAAACATGAGACCTGGATTAGTTCCATTAGAAATAGTCGTGGCGTCAACACGACACCCATCCAGTTCCGTTTATACAAACTTCAAGTATTTAGGGCAATAAACTTTAACTGATCACTAATTAAAAATTATTTTTAAGTTTAGTTAGGTTTTATCTTTTTAGGGTTTAAAGTAACTCTAAAATAATTAATTTCAACCTGATCACAAAAATCTAAGGGGCATGCTTGGAAACAGTTCTTAAGAAGGGCATGCTTGGAAACAGTTCTTAAGAACTCTAAAAACAAAAAGCTGTTCTCAATAGCAATAAAAGCCGGTTCTCTAAAAACAGGCCTTTTTATAACTCAATTTTCATAAAAAATTCTGAACCAAACAGAACTTATGTACTGTTTTCTGATTTATTTTTTAGTTCTTTAAAAACAGTGAAAACAAAAAACTGTTTTCAGAGTAAAAAATCAAACAGATCCTAACTTTTTTTTGTTCTGCCTCTGCCTTATTATATAAAAATGATACATATTCGAAAGATACCGCCCAAGTGTTGTGTGAGTGGAGGTGTGAGCCCCATCACATGACATCGGATATGAATTTTATCACATGACATCATGTGGTGAGATCCACACTCCCACTCACATACTACCTATTCAGCATCCTTAGAATTCAGAAAATGTATCACTGTTCCTAAAGAAAATAAAGACATTTTAACAAAATTCAATCTGCACCGTGCGACAAGGACTAATTTCGCAATAACAATCATCACATTGTACCATTAGAAGTGGAACAATGGGACAAACCAAAATCATTTAGTTATAGGTGTGGCATGAAAAGACTTTGGACTCATATCTAAATCATTTAGTTGACCTTTACCAAACCTCGATAAAAATAAAGAGAGAAGGAATAACGTAGATATAAATTTCATGAATCACCATGAAAAAAAAAATAATGTAGAGATGATTTTATGAATCACCATTACCCAGTGAACATTAATCAGATTTCTTTCCAAGATTCCAATAGAAAAACTAATCACATTTCACATTTCAAGATGAATTCAAATTTCGCAAACAGAAAGAAAAGAAAAAACTTAATGCTGCATACAATCCAACAAAAGAATATTGTACTCCTTTTCTATCACTAACTTCTTTTTCTAGCCATTTTTCTTAGCAAAATTTTAATGGGGCACATTCTTATTCTAAACCCCCATATTGACGATAAGTTTTGCAAATGAAAGAAAAGGTGAAATTAGTGAAGCAGGAGTCGTAATAACAGAATGCTAAGTACTTTAAATGCGACCAATGCATCTACTAATATGTATAAACTATCAAGTGTTGTGATAAAAGAAGTAAAAAAGATTTAACAGATAATTTTCTCTACATTACCTAGTGTTTTAGTGTTCTATTATCACTTATACAGATGCAAAATTTTTTGTTTGCAATTGATACCAAGGAGCCAAGTTAACAATTTAAATCCAAGCGTACTTGTTATCAAAAAGATGGTTGGAGATCATATCAAAAGTCTAAGTTCGGTTTCTTTCAAGAGCTTGACCACCATCTTCACCCAACCAAAACCATAAATAGAAAGCTCAAGGGCCATAAATCTCAATCATATCATATTTCCCATTATTTTCCCTTCATAATGTAACAAACTTTAACACATTATTGGAATTCTGTAGTCTAAGAGTGTTACACAACCACAATATAAGATTATTTGTTTTATTATTATTATTATTATTATTATTATTATTTTGAATTCAATCTCTTGATAAGTAATAAAACCAACTCTTTTTTTTTTTGTTTGGTATGAGCTCCTAAATATAATAGCATTATATTACTAATAATTCTTAATATAGGAACTAAGTCAACAAACTAAATTGTAATTGACCAACATGATAGTCAATTATCAACTGTGCTGCATCAATCACATACATGAAAAATAAAATTACTTATGAAGCACTATCATCTACAAGAATGAATATAAAATTAAAAAATCAAAATAAATAATAATCAAAATCATGAAATGTTTCAAGTTTCAAGCTTTTTAGATCATACGAGTTCAGATATATTGCTGCATATTATAACTAAAAGCAAGTTAAAAAAGTATAGATAAGAGCTTGTCTTACCTGAGGACAGATGTGGAAATTTAGAGCCGTCAGATCGCGTGACGAATAAGGAAAGGGAGGAAAGATTGGAAACCTTTGGTATGGGAGGAATAGGAAAAAAAATTCTGAGAGGTTTTTCCTATCACTCCCAACCCAACGCTCCCAATGGCTCAACTCTCCCTTTACTTTCCCACACACCAAACACTCCTCTACTCGTGTGAGTTAGGTCGTGAGATTCGTCTATATAGACTAGGAAGGCCATCAGTAGCCGTTGATTTGAAAAGGTTTTGAACATTGATCGTTGATTTTACTTTAGGAGATAAGGTTATGTGAAAAGAAGATTTTAGATAGGGGTGCACACGGTTGGGTTCCTTACGGTTCCGGTTCCGACCGGAACCGTTCACAACGGTTCCTTAAAAACGGAACCGGAACCGTATAGGGTGGAACCGACCGTTTAATGAAGATCTGAAGAGAAGATGAGAGGATGAGGAGTGACTGGTGAGGGTGAAGATCTGAAGATGTAGGCGACGATTGAAGTCTGAAGCTTGAGATGAGACTTATATCAAGCTTGAGATGAGACTTGATCTGAAGTCTGAAGCTTGAGATGAGACTTGATCTGAAGAGGAGGGGAGGCGACGGCGAGTGCCGATGAGAGGAGGCGAGGGCGATGGCTGACGAGAGGACTCAGAGGAGGAGAAGGTTTAGGTTTAGATGAGAGGAGGCGAGGGCGATGGCCGATGAGAGGACTTAGAGGCGGCGAGGGTTTAGGTTTAGATGAGAGGAGGCTGAGGCTACGACTGAAGCTTAGGGCTAAAAACTGAAAAAGTACGTTTTATTTCACTTTTTCACGTTTTCTTTTGTGGTTAGCTTGGGACCACGTGGCTGAGTGTTTACTGTGTTCAGAGACTTAGAGTACTATTTGGTTACGTTTTTAATAGTTAGTATAGTTACTTTATATAATTAAATATAATATATATATATATATGGTTCGGTTTTTATGGGTTCTCATGTGCTAGAATGGGAACCGAACCTTGTGTCTACAGTTCCTAAATTTAGAATCGGGATCGAAATTTTTTTCATTTATCCAGTTCCGATTCTTTTGTCCATCTCTAATTTTATAGTCGACGATTCTAATAAATTAAGGGTTCAGTTTTGCCCTCTACAAATTAAGGATGCTCGGAAGCGTTGTATACGGAACCTCTACAAATTAAGGATGCATGGAAGTATTGTATACGGAACCGGACCGGACCGAACCGAAACGGTTCGGTTCCAATTCGGTTCCACGCAACTGAGGAAGATATGAAGCTACTTTAGGACTACACAGTGCAAGAAACCCGCAATAATTAGATTCAGTGCAGGATATACATATTCACTAAATTCTACACATAGAAAAAGGATATCTGAAAGCAGAAATAGACCAAAAAAAAAGAAAAAGAAATAGAAGGTATAGAAATAAAAATAAAAATAAATAAAAATTATTTGTTTTGCTAAAATAAAATGTAGATTAGGTGATTACCTCAAAATTATTTTAAAAAGATCATAAAAAAATTCACCAAATAAGATTTTGTTTGCAAAACAAGAATCACAGTCTTACCTTGATTAGTTGATTTAGAAGGAAAAAAAAATTAAAACAAAACCCATTAATACAAGTTAGCAGTTGCAGATAGAGAAGGGGGCAAGCTTGAGAGTTGAGAGACAGCGGGCCACGGAAACTGAAAGATATGGGTATTGATTTTTTGAACAATCTCAAATGATATGCTGATATGGGTTTGTTCAGTGAGGAAAGAGAAGTGGAGAAATTGAGAGCTACAAAATACCTGCCAAACTGAGACCGAAAGATCTGAGAAGATAAGAGACCGTGAACAGATGAGATCGTGAGAGGAGGGGAGGCGGAATTTGAGAGGTTAGGTTTAGGTTTTATCGAGAAGAGGCAAATGTCCGATTCTCTTCTGTTCTGTGGTTTAGACTTACTAATAATATAATCAAATATATATAATATATATTAGGGTTTTGATGGTTCTTCAGTTTAGGAACCAAGACCGGAACCGAAGCTTCGGTTCGGTCAGGTTCGATTCGATTTTACGATTGTTTTGTGCTCCCTTATCTACAATATTGTTGCTCTTTGCAATTTAGAGTCCCCATAAGTGTCAATTTCTTGCATCCATGCCCCGCTAGCAGTGCCATGAAACACTACCAAAGAGAATTATGCATTGTTTTCAACTTTTTGTAACCTTGAGTAACTAATAATTTTTAGGGAAAATTACATATACATGGAGTCAAAATTTCATATTTACTTAGAGACTGAGTCAAAGTTCCATATTTCTCTAAAATGGATTGCTGAGGTGGCACATGGTTTTTTACTGTTTAGAAAATTGTGGTGCCTAAAATGCCCTTCCCTAACAAAAAAGTAGTACCTTCAGTGCAAAAAAGTAGTACCTTCAGTTCAAAAAAGTAGTACCTTCGGAGAAAAAGTAGTACCTTCGCGGGTGTTTAAAAAACATGGTACCTGGACGCCAAAAAGTAGTACCTTCAGTTCAAAAAAGTAGTACTTTCGAAGAAAAAGTAGTACCTTCGTGGAAGGGTATTTTAGGCACCACAATTTCTAAACAGTAAAAAACCATGTGCCACCTCAGCAATCCATTTTAGAGAAATATGGAACTTTGACTCAGCCTCTAAGTAAATATGGAACTTTAACTCCATTTATATGTAATTTTCCCTAATTTTTAACTCGACACAAATAGCATGACACTAAATTAAAATTGCGGTCCATCAATTGAAGCCATGATTCAGGCATTCAGAGAAGTAAAATTAAAAATTCCAAATTTTTTTTTTTTGTTCTTTTCTTTTTTGGGCAAATTAGCAACAGCACAGCAAAGGGAAAGCAAGAAAGAAAAATCATTCGCAAATAAATGAAAAAATATGACAAAGTTCTCTTAATCATTCTAACAGCACCCAAAACTGGTACTGAGTGAAGCAATTTTAAACATAGCAAGAAATGCCACCAAATGAATGCAATTTATTAGCCCATTTTAGCCAGTTGTGAGCATCATCTGCAAGTAAACTTCAACACTCGAGCAGAATAAAAAATGGGATAAATAATACGCATTTGGCAAGGAATATGAATCCTCCAAAACCTCGTATACAAATTATATAAGACTAGAGGTGCCAAAACAAGCATGTTCAACTCCATTCCACTGACTGGTAATCCACCAAAGAAATGGTAGAGTAGAGGATTACCAACCCTTAATACTTTACTGAACTACAACAACTCTGTAGCAACAAATTTCCACTCAGCTGATTCAGTATTCCAATGAGCATATAATACATAACAATTTCCTTGTACAATTTGATAAATAAATAAAGAAAGAAAGAAAGAAAAAAGGTGAATTGGCCTCTCTGTAATTATTGTGCACCACTGCAGCTATATCAAAGTTGACTTCTTGGTGACCTGCAGGAGCAAGAGAAGGTTATAGCATCAATAAGTGAAACAATCAGCATAAACCCCTAATAAACATCCAATTAAGAGTTCTCTAGCAAGTCCGAGCCTCGGTTTTTATGAGATAGAATGCACAGGTGATTGGGAGCATGTACCAAGCTCACAGAGATCATTGCAATACCCTAAAATTCATCGGCAAGAGATTGAATCAAAACTGGAATTGTTAAAGACATAATTTCTTATTGAATATCAGTTAAATGAATTGTATCTTCCTGCATAATCTGGAAAGTTGCCCCTAAAAAAATTTCCATGAATTGAAGGTCTACACTTAGTTCTATAAAAAGGTCTACACTTAACCTTCCGAAAAAAAAAAGAAGGGTTCTACACTTAGTTATACAAAATTACTTATTTACCAACTGATGTGGCAAAAGTAATTTTAAATTTAACGGGACAATGGTACCGTGGTTCTCTTGTCTTCAATCGGACGAGTGTTTGGCACGTCAACAAGCATACAATTCTAAATTTCTTATCATCTAAGGCTTGTTTAGCATTACTCCAAAACTATAAAAACCAATTACATGACTTGACTTGCTTCATTACAAACAAAATGACCATCATTCTCCCATTAATTTCAAAATTTGTACATATCACATCAATTAATACCATAATTCAAGAAATTCTGATAACAACAAACCCTGGGCGTTGCTAATAATTGCAGAAAATGTTTGCATAACTATATAACATTTAGGGAATCATACTTTCAATCAATCCACATACAAGTAACAAAAATAAAGAAAGCAAAAGAAGCTATTATTGCTTCTGAAGAGTGTTCTAATAGAGTACATCTCTTTCATGTAACAAGATCTTCACTTAAAATTTGAGAAAAAATTTGGGTCAATTGAGATTCGGACAATCTCAGAACATAATTGATGTGGTACACAAGTAACCTATAAGAGAATCAAGTGAAAAAGCAAATCTAGAACCAATAGGTGGCAAGAAAACGAAAAATACAAGTCATCTATATTCTCTAAATAAGAAGATGGAGAAAATCTCAGTACAATGTTGACTTTTCTGAAAATCTCATAGCAATGTCATCTGCAAATTGCACACATTCTGGATTCCGTGAGCCGTTCAATGGGGGAGAAAAACTTTTCTTTCTGAAACTTGTACCGATAAGGGCAAAATGGTAACTTGAACTGGAAAGGGGCAAAAAAGGTACGAGGAAAACAAAAATTAAACAGTCTTGGCCCATGCAGGTCTCGAACCTGCGACCTTCGCGTTATTAGCACGACGCTCTAACCAACTGAGCTAATGGGCCACTTGTTTAGAGATAGTTAATACTAAATATGTGACTATAAATATTCTTGAAATATTACCAGATTTTGTTGGATGAGGATATTTGTGATAAGGTGATAAACCATCTGATTGTTGTTTACGCTGGAACAAATTCGATTACTGAAACAGAAAGGAGGAAGGAAGGAGATGTTTGAACACATCACAGCAAGTGAACTGGCAGGGTATGGGGTTGGCACTCTCCTCTTAGGTGCCACCATTTCTGCCACCAAAATCGATTCTCTCATTTCTGCTTCCCAACGGAGGTAACTCTTTATATAGCCTTTCCTTAATCCATTCTAGTCTTTTGTGTTTTGTTCAATTTTGGGACTTCTTTATGACATCAATGAAGTCCTATTCCTCCCTCAATTTTGTGGGTTGTGATATATTATAAGGTCATCTCAATTCATCTATGGATTTTTGTAAACTCTCTGTGTATAGTTTTGGCGTAATGGGTCCTAAAGTAATCAAAAGTTGAATTTTTGTGGGCAAATGTATGAAATTTAATATACCCCAAATTAATCATCCATTAGATTGTCAAATTGGAGGGAGTTACCATGTATAAAGTGAACTCATTCTAACACAGGGCAAGTCCCTTTTGTATTAAAATTGTCATGTTTTGATGTTTAGGTTTCACCACCTATACTCTCTGATAAATCAAATATTGTGGTCTATTAGGAGATATTTGGAGACACATTGCTTGTTTCAAAATTTTAAAATTGAAATTGAGAATTGGAAGTGGCCATGGCCTGTGAATGTAAGACTTTTAGGTTCCATTTTGGATTGAAGGATTTCAAATGAATGGATTTAGGTTCAATTGTGTTAGAAATATAACTCGATGGATTTGCGAGGATTTCGAATGAAAGGATTTGGGAGAATTTTATGTGTGAATTTCAAATAACTACTTAAACCTTGTTATTTGAATTCATGTAACTTGCCCAATAAATGTAATAAAATAATTCTCCTATGCCTCTAATCTAACATCAACTAGAACTTTGGAATCCAACTTTAGTGGCCAGCCTTTTAGATAATGAATTCATTTTCAAAACAGTACAACGAATGATTATTCAGTTGAAGGGCGTCACCTATCTTCTCCCAATCTCAACTGCTAACCGTCTTTCAAATTGCAAAAACAGGAACATATTCAAGAAGTTTTTAGGCATTTGTCTATGTAAAATTTCATTTAGAAGGGAAATTAATGGTTTTAGTAAACTTGTTTGCTTGTTTAAATCGTCTTTCATATTGCAAAAACAGAAACATATCCAAGTATCTTGTAGCCATTTGTCTATATAAATTTTCATTTAAAAGGGAAAAAGTTGATTTTAGTAAACTTGTTTACTCTCTGTGTGAGTAGCTATTCCTTTCTTATAGAAGCTAATATATACTACTTGGTAGTGGGACTTCATCTATGTGATAACTGAGTTTAAGTTTACAGATTCTTCAAAACATTATCATTCAATGATAAACTATGTTAATATGGTTGACCAGCTCTTGTATTGTATTTTTAGAAAAGTGTGCAGCGGCTCTTTATTGTATTCTTATAGTAGTAATTTGTAACCAATTGTTTGAAACCACGGTGCAGGAAATATTTAATGCTTTCCTCACCGAATATCTTTTTTATTCGTATACATAAAATAGGAATGTGATAAGGTGTATGTCTTCATTCTAATACACGGGTGTTGTATCTGCAACTTCCTCGATATGCAGCTCTCTGAGCATGTGCAAGAAATGTGGTGATCTCAGGATGATAGCATGCTCAAACTGTAAAGGATTAGGCTTAGTTAAAGAAGGGGGACAATTCAGCTTCATTCCTGTGGATGACCTCTACCCGTCATTTGGGGGTGAATCAAAGGTGAGATCCATTGCATGCACCAAATGTCGAGCTAAAGGACATTTCTGCTGCCCTGAATGTTCTAAATAACCCCAAGATTGATCTTGTTGTCATGGAAAAGTATATCTTCCCCATAAAATCATGCTTTGTTAAAAACTTGATTATTCAAGAAAACTCAATGACTCGCTTGCAGAACTGAAATATGCAACTATGGCCCGTCTTTTGTACCTTAAGATTTGATTCTATATATCAATGCTAGTACGTCAGTGGTTTGCTCAATTTGTATACTTCTGCAAACCTAAATAACTATCATCGTTCGGTATTTCTTAATGTTATGTTCATCCCGTGCCTTGAAATATAGCCATTCCAAGTAATTTCTGTCCAAGGAGGCAAATTTGTGAAAACAGAAAAATCGTTTTGTAGATTTAGTATAAATTTTTTGTGTCGGATTCTGATTGAGAGAACTCTGTGGTCCTTATTGGTTTGTGTGGTCTTAACGGATGAAAATGTGGGTATTTTCTTGTTGTAAAGGCTGCTTGGTTCTCTTTTTTGTTTAGAATTATGTTACTCAGTGCATGTTTTCTGGAACAAACAAATTAAGAGCTTAAGTGCATGGCTTCTTAGTCAATTTATGGGTTTGGACATTAACCTAATCCCATATTTTGGAAACCTTTTATGGATGTTTGAACAACACTTGCAACAGTTTTTCTTGATTTGTGTTCATGCCTGTAACTTTGTACCAATTTCGTATGGAATTAAAAGAGTAAGAACTCAAACTGGTTTGAAATTGAAAGAACATAAATTAACGTACTACCAAAGCACCTATATCAGATTTCAATGGTTACACAGATGATTGTAGAAGCTTTTATAAGTCATTTTTGCTGCATTTTGTTTGCAACGCATGCAAGTAAAGCCAGGATGCATGTCAAATAGTTACAGGCATCCAACCTTTAATCATAAATCATATGGATTGGATATGGACTATGGATCCATCAATAACCCTTACATCTTCCAGTAAATTTATCAAGGTGATGATATCCATTATAGAGTATTGTTGGTCACTACCAATCAAAATAACACATAATGGTGATTTTTTTTTTTTTTTTTTTTTTTTGTATATGAAAATTAAAGTTAGCCTCTCAAAAAATTTTAAATTTTCATTTATAGTTTACCTATCTATTATAATTAAATGTGGTTTTGCCAAGAAAATTACTTGTAACCCCCCCAGAAGTCATTAAATTAAACTTAATCTATTTTTCTTATTGAAATAAATTATGGGAAAAAAAAAATCATACTAATTTGATGACATATTTTTCATTAAATTTGCATAAATTTATCTTTAATTTTTTAAATTAATTGTTTAAATAAAAATCTTTAGTATAAAATTTAAAACAAATTAATTAATTTTAAATTATTGCATGAATACATTACAAGAAATAGAAAATATTTTTTATTTAAGTAATATATTAATTTTTCATCAATATATTGTATGAAAAAAGAAGATATTTTTTCTGCAGTAAAAAAAGTTTAATCTGGTTATAATAAGTCTTATTATAAATAATAAAATTTTAATAATAAGTTAATTATTTTATAAAAAATGACAGTTACAAATCTATTTATCTTTTTTTTTTTATGATAAATTGATACTAATAAAATTAAGGTAAATAATATAATTAATATTTAGAAAAGAGAAAAGATAATAAAAATAATTTATTAAAAAATAAAAATTTTAATGAAAATGAGTAAAATAATCTTGTACGATGATTTTGTCCTTAATTGCAAAAAATAAATAGTTTAGGACACAATTTTTAATTCAAAGAGATTTTTTACAAAAGGGTTATAGTTCAAAACTTATTTTTTGCAATTTACCCTTTTAAAAAAAGAAAATAGTAAAAATTTTGCTTAAAAAATAAATAAATAGTACAAAAATATTTTTATTCGCGAGTATCACCAACAGATGTCAGACGCTCACATGTGTCGGAAGCCGTACAAAGAAAAGGTTTTTTCTATTTAATTTTTATTTTTGCAAAGAAAATGTTGAATCAAAGGATAAAACGGTGAATTTCTATTTACGGAGTACTACTTTTACCGTTGCCCCATTATTGCACAGTACATGCACCGACAGTTGTGGATAAAAAGAATTGTAACAGTCTTTCACAAGTCATACATTGACAACGCGCAAACCCGAACCAAAAAAGTTACTGTCACCACTCAAGCCATAAAGCCTGCACTGTAGCCAATTACGTCTCATGGCACTGTACATAATAACGAATCAGAACACGACATGCGTCTCACAAGCAGCATCGTCTCGTCCTATATTTGAGAAAGGCATTTTGTTTCATGGAAAAATAGCTCTGTTTACACCCAACACATAATGGACTTATTGTCTGACACCTGGTTTGTTGGGATTTATATGCCCTGGCATAGCAAATTCCTATCTGGATTATAGTGACAGATGTTCCTGACATATCTGAAATATTTATGATTTATATAATTGGTGAATTCAATGTATTATGTTTCGATTCACTATGAAATTGATAGTGTCCGTGTAATTACAAGAAATATTTATATATATGTATGTGATGGCAATCAATGCATGATATATAAATAGTAATTATAAATTGTTCATAGTCGGTAATTATGGATGGACTCATAATTAATTAAGACTTGAACTGGATCCGCGTTAGGTTGAGATATATTGCGAGAGCCGTCGTATGCAATTACTCCCTATCACCGTCATGGCATTTGACTCTTAAGCATGAGAAAAGTATAGACTCTTTTATTAATTAATAATTACTTTGATTTGTTCGGCGGATTCTTCGGGATCCTTAGACCGACACTTTGGGTAGTTATGTAATTAATAGTTAGAGGGTTATATTTTTAATATTTGCATCATTGCTACTTGTATTTATTTTGTATTGATTATGGTTGATCACAAAGTAAATTCGAAGGCCTTCGTGTGTTTTTAGACAAAATGATTTATTATATATTTATTTATTTAAATTATTATTTTTGTCAAACAAATGTTTTATTGTGATCGAGCCAGAAATAATCAGAGGTACCAAAATAGATATATTAATTAAGTAGTCGGATTGATGGCTTTATTTATCCGATAACTAATTATGCATAGAGGGGTCAAAGTGCAATATTGACTTAGAGGTTATTTATTATTTAATTGGAGTTCAATTAATTTCTTTTAGTGGAGTAGAAATTAATTTATGAATTAATTGAATTGGGTCCATGGACCGGGCCAATCATTAATTCATTGTAGCCAATAAAATAAAAGGCCCAATGGATTCTCACTCATAACCCAACTTGATATTGGAATCATATTAGATTTGAGACATGTAAATTAGAGATTGAGAAGGATTCGTTGTTTCCTTTTCTTTATTTTTATGTTGCCTATAAATATACATGGTCTATGTATATTTTAGGGGGTGATTTTTAGTAGAAGGAAAAAGGAATATATTTTTTCTCTCTAGAAAATTAGGGTTTATGTTCTCATCTAATGGAGGCTCCCACAAGCCTAGTTTTCCAAGGTCATTTATGGAGGCATATGAGTGATTCCTAAAGGCAGAACAATTACCAAGAAGATGGAGATCCAAGGAGAATACATCTTGCTAAGGGATCTACAATAAGTGAGAACATTCACTTTAGAGGAGAGATCTAAGGTTTACTCAAACCTTGATGTAAGTATTCAATCTTTTAATTGAATGATACATCATGTTTTATTTTTGCATAAAACTTCTCTCTATGTAATGAATCAAGATATATGAATTTAAATCCCTCGAAAAGTTTTTAAAACTAACACGTTTCCCAACAGTGGTATCAAAGCATGGTTTGATTCATTACTAGAGATCATGATTTTATGAAAATCATCATTCATGGATCCAAAATTATATTCATATATATTTTTATTGATGTATGTTGATGTATGATTTAATATGTTGATATATATTGATACATGATGATGTATGAATAATTGTGAATGAATGATGATGTATGGTTGGGCCATGGACGAAGCTTATAGGAATATTGAATGTAATTTTATCTTTGGATGAATGTAATTAAGGCTTTGATTTAACCGTTTGAAAGTTCAATGATGTAATTTATTTTTCCCATTGTATTTTAAGTTGTAAATATTTTTAAAGTCATTTAATATTCATCAAAGGATGCTATGAAGCTTCAAGAAGGTCCAAAAGGGTTAAATTATGCTTCAGTAATTTTCTGAAATTTTTCCGAATTTTTTGAAATTTTTCTGAAATTTTTTGAGGCTTAATTTATTTTTCTGGGAATTTTTCTGATTTTTCTGGAATTTTTCGGCGTTTTTCCGGTGGCCGGAGCATCGCCGGCGGCGAGAAGAGGCGTCGGAGGAGGTTGGAATCAGATGTGGTGCATAGGAGGTGAGCCTGGCGCGTGAGGAACACGCGCCAGGAGGTGACATATGCTGGCGCGTGCATTGCACGCGCCAGCCAAGGTTGCAATGGCCTCCACGCGCGTGCAGGCGCGTGGAGGCGCGTCCCACGCGCCCCACGCGCGTGCCAGCGCGTGGGGGCGCGTCCCACACGCCCCAGGCGCGTGCCAGCGTGTGGGGGCGCGTGCCTTCACCTGCAGCATGCTCCAGGCGCGTGTGAGCGCGTGTGGGGCCCTCCAGGCGCGTTCCAAGCGGTGTTTTACTTCTCCTGGTGCGTACCAGCCTTATGTGGGTGTTTGCAAGCCGATGGATGATCTTCCCACGATAGTTAGAGTAGTTAAATGTTAAAAACTGATTCCATTGGCCGTTTTATTTGTTTTATCTGTTATTTATTTATTTATGCAATGTATGAAATGCATGGAATATATAATTGTTAATTAATTATTATTCATGCATTGGATCCATGATATTTATTTAAATGGCTTGATTTATATTAATTAAGTTATGAAAATTAATTGGATCTGATTACTAGTTAATTTGAGGGCACTTATTGGGAAACGCAAAATTATTTTTTGTAAATTATTTTTAAGAGTATGCCTCAAATTAAATATTAGTAAATCGTTTAAAGTCCAAATATTTTCTAAATTTAATTGAATTAAAATTAAGACGTTTTGCATGCATTATATCATGTAAATAGATAAATTCAAAACCCTAATTATGAATGATTAAAAATTGAGTGGGAGCGGGGATTTTTATACATTACCCCATGGCCTTCGTTATTAAAACCATTGTAATTAGATCTTCAAAAATAAGACCCCACGCATGATTTGAAGAGTCTTAATATTACAAGAATGGTTGTCTCATG